CCCATTGGCATCCGACAGGTTTCTTTCCTGAGCAGAGTTGACATTTCTCCCATGTGTTGTTTTTCTCTAGCGCCTCCATCTCCTCTTCCATTGCTTTTCTCCATTCTGGTATTTGTATGGCTTCGTCTACTGTTTTAGGAACTTCATGGGTGGATGTGTGAAACACCTGTGACACACTCCCCCTGACCAGATCAGCAACAGGATATCTTGAATTCCGAGGGATGTATTCTGGTTCATATCTGACAGGAGGAATTCCCCGATTCTTCCGTGGTGGGAGAACATATCTGTTTGATATATTCAATTCTTCCACGGTATCATTAGATTTATCAATGCAATCATCAGGAGTGGGGGAAGTACTAACCTCAGGAGTTTTGTCAAACAGAGTAGAATCAGACATGAGTTCAGAGTTGTTGGACTGTTCAATGTTCTCAGAAGATGATCTCACGGAGTGACTTACTTCCTCGGTTGGGACAGTTTCAGGCGGCAAGACTAGGTTGTGTAACCACTCTAGAGAGTCATTCGTAATTTTCTCCCCCTGACTACTAGAGTGGTTTTGGAAATAGTACTCAGTTTCCAAAAAATTACAATCCATTGTCGTGTACATCCGACGAGAAATAGGATCATAACATCTGTATCCCTTTTTGTGAACCCCATACCCAACAAAGACACATCAGACAGCACAAGGATCAAAATTTGTTCGTTTGGCTTTTGGGATATGTACATATACAGTGCAACCAAACACACGAGGAGTGAGAGTCAAGAAGGTGGGAACAGTGGAAAATTTTGCGAGTGTATCAATGGGTGTTTTGTGATTTAGGATTTTTGTCGGAAGGCGATTTATGAGATAAATGGTGGTTGCAATTGCTTCGGGCCAGTAATAAATAGGAACATTTGACTTAATCATAAGAGCCCTAGTGATTTCGAGTATGATCCGATTCTTACGTTCAGCAACACCATTTTGTTGAGGGGTATCAGGACAAGTGGTTTGATGGATAAGACCTTTTTTCTTACAGAAATTTTCCATAGGATGATTTATGTATTCTCCTCCATTATCAGATCGAAGAATACAAATCTGTTTTTGGTATTGTGTGTTGATCAATTTGTAAAATGAGGTGAACTTTTCAAAAANATGGACCCCACACATCAGAATGGATTAATGAGAAAGGTTGTGATGCAACTGTATTATTTAACGGATAGGAATGTTTATGACTTTTGGCTAGAATACAACTGTTGCAATGAAACTGACATGATTTATTGAATAATTTTGGAAAGAGAATTTTGAGATACCCCCAAGATGGATGTCCCAAACGACGATGCCACAACCATGCCTGCCTGTCCACTGTCCCATGAGCAAGCGTAGCAGTTTCGTAATGATCAAATTCCTCAACATAGTATAGGCCATTACGCTCAGAATCACGCCCAATGATCTTCCCCGTCCGAATATCCTGTAATAAGCAAAAAGTGGGGTGCATTAGGACCATGCAATTTAATTGTTTTGTGACATGGCTTATTGACAGCAATTTGTGAGACAATGTGGGAACATATAGGCAATTCTCCAGCCGGATAGAATTTGAGATAGATATTGGACCAGTGCCCTCGACACGAGAATAATCCCCATTGGCCGTTTGGATATGGGTTTTCTTGAACCAATTTAGAGAATTAAAATCGGAATGGTCGAATGACATTGTGTCAGTAGCCCCACAGTAAAAAATCCACTGGTTATTTTTAATTTGGTTGGGTTTGGGCCAAATTCTATTTATTGGGCTTGATTTGGAAAGAGTATTTAATCCCTCTCCCCAAACCCTACCCGTCACTTCGCCCCTACCCGTAACTTCTTGGCCTCTCCTTCTTACGCCGCTGCTCTCTTCTTCGACGTTACCCATGGCGATTCCGGCGAAGTTTTCAGACGCTTGGACGGAGGTGGTGCTGGTTGTCTCTTGATTGCCCACCACTGCCCCAGCGACCCCAGGTAGCTTCTTCCCCCTCTTTCGGCTGTCAGGCCACCAATCTGGGTACCCGATTCTCTTGAAGCACCCTTCTACGGTGTGCTTGGTTCCGCCACAGTATGTACATTTCAATTTTGATTTGTCCTCATTTATGCGAGATGACGATACCAGGTTTTTTTCCTTTTCCGATCGCAATCCAGCCCGTGTGGCTGCGAATCCACTGCCAAGACCTAAGGGATCTCCCGATGAAGGTCCATCATCTCCCTTCATTATTCCTTTCCTGGTAGCCTCCCTCCTGATTTGGGCGTATGCCTCTTCTACGGAGGGGAGAGGATCTGTTTTGAGAATATCACGTTTTTCTACATCAAACTCTTCGTTTATGGCTTGTAAAAATTGATACAAACGATTTTGTTGATTAATTTGTGTGAAAATCGTCATATCCTCCGGGCATTTCATCGGGTTGGGTCGCCTCCTGTCGATTTCCTTCCACACAGCTTGCAATTGGCTATAGACCTTCTCTAGTGTCTGGTCTCCTTGTTTGATGCTGCTAGCTTTCACCATCAAGTTGTATACCTGCAAGGGATCTTTCCCGGAGCCGTAAGTGGCTTCAATTCCCTTCCACAGATCCCAAGCAGTTGGATAATCGATATATTGATTGACAATATCTGATTCTATGTTTTCTAGAATCCATGTTATAACCGTTGA